ATTAATCGGTCAGACTGATGAGTCGACTAGACAGTGTTACAGACGATGCAAATGGAAACGGCCTTTGCAGTTCGTAATTTAGACTAATGTTGTCCCATTTTGCACCGACAGAACATTGTCGGTGAAAGTACATTGTGTCAAATGCAATAGAAAACTTACGTAATAGAAAAATACGTTTTATTTCTTTTTATGCTTAAGGTGTTCAAAACTAGACGTCTTTAGTTGATAAAAGGCCACAAATAAGTAAGTGCGCTGGTCTTATTGGTTGAATTCTTTGTCATTGTCTTCTTCTAATTTAAAAAAAAATGTTGGTGTACACTTCGTTAGCTGTCAGAAGCTTGTTGGATTAATACGTACAGTTGAGTAATAAATTGTTCAAGTAATACCGTGATGCTTAGCGCCGGTGTAGGATCGATACGACACCTGTTCGTTGCCATGGCGACGCGAGGGACCACCCGACACCGGCGCGTAATTTGAAATTCGAACCTCGCCGATAATGTCTGAACGTCGGGCGCGCGTGCGGAGACCGCGCCCCGCGCCCCGCGCCACCCCGCTCGCCAGCAGACACAGATAATGGATACTGGCTACGAATAGGGAGATGTTTTTTTTTTAATTGTAATAATTATTTGTATTCTGACAGTTATTTTTTTTTATATTTTTTACGCATGTGAAGGCAAAGGTTTTTTTTTTTAATTTTAATAAGTGATATTTTATGGCCAGTTATTTTGTTTTTTCTTTGTTTTTTTTTTATAATGACGCTATGACCAAACTTTAAGTGTCGTGGAAAAAACGCGAACAAGTATATTCACATAATTAAAGATGAATTTAAAAAGATACAAAATCCAGTTTAATTGAGATGTGTTATAAATCATTTGAAATTATTCATGAGTGGAATAAATAGGGTTAGGTTATTTGATGAGTGCTACGTAATCATTCGTACCATTAGCATTGTCTAATGGCGGCCGGGATCAGCTCGCATGATGTCATCTCTAACTACTGTCTGACATTTGATAGACCTCACTAATTATTTATAAAAAAAAAATTATAAGCTAATAAAAAATATTTTTTTAATTTTTTACCAAAAAATGGATTTTTTTTTATTTTATTTTTTTGACAAAAGTCGTTGGAAGATATGTCAGGAATGCAGTGCAGTAAGCATAGGTAACATAAAAAAAGATAAATTACTTCTACGAGTACGAATAACCGCGAAGTTTCTCTGTACATAGCAAAAAAATCTATGTCAATTGTTCAAGGCAAAAGATGGCATAACAAATGTTTCGGCAATGAAAACCCACTGTAATATTGCTTCTTTTAATCACAAATTCATATAAAATCCATTAACAAGTGCAACCAATCTTCCTATCTTATCTTATATAAAAGAAAGTCGTGTTAGTTACACTATTTATAACTCAAGAACAGCTTTACCGATATGCCTGAAAATCGGTGAAGAGGTAGCTTAGAGCCAGGAGACGGACATAGGATATTATTTTTTTTTTCGAATTTATGGATGGGTGTTTGAAGATATCTCTAGAACAGCTGAACAGACCTCGATTAAATTTGGCATACGTATAGAACATAGTTTGAAAGAACACATTACACTAATTAAGTTTTTTTATATATCCACGCGTACGAAGTCGCGTTTTACAGCCAGTGTAATATGTTACGTAATTGTTTTTGTATGTATGTATGTACGCAATGGATACAATTAAACAATGAACATATGTCCATATATTCTAGATAATGCAACGACATATTTTTCATACTCATGCAAATCAATTGGCTAATAATGTCACTCGTCACCACAGTGTATTGAACCGGCAGACATACATTTTAGAAAATATACTTTCGTATTTAAAAAAAAATTATATATCATAAGGTTGCAAACGAGCGAGCGGCCACCTGAAATCGCTGAAATAGCGAAGTGACCGTTGCCCATAGACATACGCAATTGCATATGCGTTGCCTTTAATCGACGGAGGAGAGGATGCACAGAAAGAAAAAATATTTCCCCTTTCCATGCATTCTGTTTTTAATAGTAGATAAAAAAATGAAATGGAATAAATTTTATTGCTTTTAACAGTATTTTATTACTAAACAATAAATTATTAATTATTAACAAAGTAATTGACGCCTTCGATTCCGTCTGCGCAGATTTAAAAAAAAAACTAAAGTAGCCTCTGTGTTTTTCCAGGCTATGTTCTATATGTGTGCCAATTTCATTAAGATCCTTTGAGTCGTTCCGCTGATATCTTGTAACAAACATCCATTGAAACTTTCGCGTTTATAATATTAGTCAGAACTATACTAAAAATACGGGAAAAATCAAAAAATATATATTAAAAGAATTTAAACAAAACTAAATGACATACAAACTTTAGTAAAAGCACTAACAATTATTTTATATCAATAAAAACTCAACTTCTGTATATAATTGTCCTGTGGTGCATCTCGTCAAATTAGCAGCTGTCGCGCTGCGCAGGCGCAGGCCGTTTGTCACAGTAAGAGCGCGGGCGCGTCGCGGGCACAATTAGTGCGTCGCCTAATTGTGCGCACTACTGCACTCAATTAACTACATTAAATTTGCAATGCGTCTGTACATATCATCGCTGCATTTATCGTGTGTAGGAAGCCTTATGGTCGATAATATGGCTATTGGAAATAACCCTATAATTTCGATTATAAAACCACGAAAAAGATAAAAATACAGAAGCCCATGTATGCCTACGTGCATCAGCTACCTTCCCGTTAAAGTCCCGTCAAAATCGGTCTAACCGTTCCGGAGATTACCCGGAACAAACTAACAGTGGTAGAGCCCGCTTTAACATCTTCGCACGAATTGTCCCGGCTCGCCCGGTGAAATACCACGACCACACAGAAGACAGGCGTCAAGTGGAAGCAATTCCGCGTTTCGTCTGATGAGTGTGCGTCCCGGAGGCCTAATTTAGTCCTCTTTCCCTCCCCACCCTTTTTCTTATAAAAAAATGATGCGAAGTGGACTCTCCGGTTGAGAGGATGCATGTAAAGGGAAAATATTTTCTTTGTGTGCATCCTCTCCTCCATCGATTAAAGGTAGGCAACGCATATGCAATTGCGTATGTCTGTGGGCAACGGTCACTTCGCTATTTCAGCGATTTCAGGTGACCGCTCGCCCGTTTGCCACCTTATGATATAAAAAAAAACTAGGACTTGCGGACAGACAGACAAAAATTTTAATAAGTTGGATTATCGTTATCAGGAACGCATATATATCTATTTGTGAAATACGATTTTCTTCGAAATTACATACAGATAGTCCAATTTTATTTATATGGATATAAAATGTTGCATATAATTTCCTTATCAACCAGTACATAGCGTAATTAAAAATAAACATGATTAGCGTGTTCTTCCAGATTATGTTCTACATGTATGCCAAATTTCATCAAGATCCGTTCAGCCGTGCTAGAGATTTTTTTTATAAGAGAAGGGGGAACACCGAGGTGTTCAACGCCGCCCATTGACATCAGCAACACCAGAGGAACCGCAGATGCGTTGCCGGCCTTTGAGATGGTGATACGCTCGCTTCTTGAAGGACCTTTTTTTTATAACAGAAGGGGGCAAACGAGCTGCGGGAACACCGAGGTGTTCAACGACGCCCATGGACATCAGCAATACCAGAGGAACCGCAGAGAGGAATGCTTTATGCATACTCCGCGCCCCGGGAGGCACGCAGTAGTTATGTGGGATTCTCCTCCACAGCGGAGGCATACCCACTAAACCTCTCTGTTCCTCTAACGCATCGGGACGGGGCCACGGGCACGCTTTCGCTCTCGTCTACGACCTTCTTGAAGGACCCTAAGTCGTAGCGGTTTGGAAATACAGCCGAGGATAGATTCCACATCGCTGCTGTGCTATCTTCAAACATCCATAAAACATTCGCATTTATAATATTAGTAAGAAGTAAGTTAGGTATATCTATATGTTGCTAGCCGTCCGGTGAAATGTTCGCAACACTGATATAATAAATATCTTATCAATGTCAGATAAGAAGTAATTAGGCCATGAGTAAACTTAAAACATATTTACAGCAATAAACATTTAATATATATTTTAAATATGTTCATATAGTAGTAAACATAAACATATGAGAGCGAAAAACATAACCTTAAAATATCTGTCTACCAACATTGCGAAATGTCAACAATTTCAACGTCAAATCTTTATAAATGGATGGGTGATTGCTTGAATTTGACAGCTTTTATTTCGTTGCAATTTAAACGCGACCGTTGATGTTACGTGAAAGTTAATTGGAACGGATCCCAATGAAATTTGGCATTCCTATAGAACATAATCTGGAAGAAAACATAGGCTACTAATTATTTATTTTAACTCCACGCGGAAGGTGTCGCGGGCGATTGTTAGTATTACTAAAGTTAAAGTATAAGTTTATACAGGTCAATTTTTTTATATCATAAGGTGGCAAACTACCGAGCGGCCACCTGAACTCGCTGAAATAGCGAAGTAACCATTGCCCATAATCGACGGAGGCGAGGATACACAGAAAGAAAATATTTTCTCTTCCCATGCATCCTCTCATCCGGAAGGTCCACTTCCACTTCCCATCCTTTCCTTATAAACAAAAGGGTGGTAAGGGAAAGATGACTAAATTAGGCCCCCGGGACGCACACTCATCAGACTGTACTTGGAATTGCTTCCACTTCACGCCTGTCTTCTGTGTGGTCGTGGTATTTCACCGGGCGAGCCGGAACAATTCGTGCGAAGATGTTAAAGCGGGCTCTACCACTGTTAAATATTTTAAGATTCGAACTCATACTGACCTATTGATGACAAAGAAAATAACCACTGAACCATATGACATTTGTATTTGATAGTGTTATCAATGTTTCATTCATTCTTGTGCTATTGAGTGTTTACAACGTGTTTTAACTAAAATAAAAAAATATTTTTATTAAACATTGTAATTTAAACTCTATCCATATTGTTATAACGTTCATATTATTTATATTTTTTTATAATTAAGTTAAATCTATAAAAACCGGTCCTAATAGACCTTGTAACGAAGTGAATATTATTGTTTAGTACTGTTTGTTACTATTTCAAAGAATGTTTGATTATAAATATTTATCTAAAGAACATTTAAATGGATTTAATAATTATAAGGTATGTTATTTTAGACATTATTATTTAGAATCCTTTAGCGCGAATGACGTGCTTTCGTTACAAAGTCAAGTGACAGAATGAATAGTGAGGGGACATAAACGTTGACATTTTAGTAAGTGTTGCGCGGATACACCGGCACATTTTCCAATTTTCTTCCTAACACTAAATATGTGCCGAGTTTCATCAAGATCCATACAGCAGTTCTGGAGATAACTTCAAACAAACATCCGCATTTATAATATTAGTAAGATGTAACGATTGTATCAAACAGAAATTTATAATCATTATTGTTTATTAAAGAAATTATTTAATTTTTAATTTAACATCTACGAAACATTATAGTGTGTGTTAAGATCGACAACTGACGTCTATAAAATATCGAATTTATTTTGTATGAGGATTAATGTTGTACTTAATGGATGGTGTTCATAGTGTCGGACTGTCGAACTATCGAGAATCAGTCTTGTTATAAAATTAATCCAACAAATGAGTACTATAATTTAGGTATTATGTAACTTTTTGAATTTATTGGCTATATATTTCAAAATTAATTAAAAAATATTTTATGTTCGTTAACACCGCAGTTTTTGGTTTAATGTCGTTATGAAAGATAAAGTAGGAATAGAAAGACACAAATTTATTTATACTGTAATTCAAAAGCAATTACGAAATTTTCGATTGCAAGTTCTATGAGAATAGACATCGAAAATCGAAAAATTCTTAATCGATTACTCAACCCATATCTAGTAAATTGTCAAACTAATCTATCTTAAATAGACACATTATAGTTTTATTTTTATATCATAAGGTGGCAAACGAGCGAGCGGCAACCTGAAATCGTTGAAGTAGCGAAGTGACCGTTGCCCATAGACATACGCAATTGCGTAGCGTTGCCTTCCTTTAATCGACGGAGGAGAGGATGCACAGAAAGAAAATATTTTCCCTTTCCATGCATCCTCACATCCGGAAAGTCCACTTCCACTTCCCATCCTTTCCTTATGAGAAAAAGGGTGGAAAGGGAAAGTGGACTAAATAAGGCCTAAAACGCGGAATTGCTTCCACTTCACGCCTGTCTTCTGTGTGGTCGTGGTATATCACCGGGCGAGCCGGGCCGATTCGTGCGAAGATGTTAAAGCGGGCTCTACCACTGTTAAAGTTTGATTAAATATTAATAATATATCTCGATAAGTAATTAATCTTCTTATATCTTAGTAAACATGATATTAGTCTATCCCTACCCGCCCCAGTTTAATTAGGAGTCGTGTGTATAACAATTTTTAATCGCCTTAAAAAAGAAGGTTTTGAATTTGTCTGTTGTTTTCTTTTGTTGTTTTAGTTTGAATTACGTAAACACGTGTTGAGGTCAGTGTATGTAGTTAATTACAAGGTCGTTTACTAACTAAAGTTACTGCTTAGAGAGGTTTTAGAAAACATTAAAAATGTATAAATATGAGTAACACTTTATTCATCATCAGCTCACTATACGTCCCCACTGAGGGACTCGGAGCCTACCCTAAGTTAAGAGTGATTAGGCCATAGTCAACCACGCTGGCCAAGTGCGGGTTGACTTCACACATATCTTTGAATTTCTTCTCAGATATGTGCAGGTTGCATCACGATATTTTCCTTCACCGTAAGAACGTCGGATAAATGTACATATGTAAATCGCAAATCGAAAAACATATTGGTACATGGCGGGATTCAAACTCAGGACCTGCAGATTGCAACTCAACAGTCAGGGGTCAAGCCTGAGCCTCCGTCGCTCTCATGCTTATTATATCTTACTAATATTATAAATACGAATGTTTGTATGAATGTATGTTAGAAGGTATCTACAGAACGGTAGATCTTGATGAAATTTGGCAAAGATGTAGAGCAGTCTGGTAGAAGACATAGACTACTCATTTTAATACCGCGCGAATAGAATCGCGAGCTATTAGTTGATTATATAAAAAAAAATCTTGACTGTCACCACTATGACACTCCGTAGAGGAATCTCATGACTCATTAACACGGTGTTAATTGGACTTCATTTTTTTTATTATGTTTTTTTTCAGTACAGAGCCATCGACACAAGTCCTCTCAGTAATTATGTTATGCATCCTGTATGGAACGCTACAGTAAAGGTAACTAACAAAACTCTTCATTTAACTAATATTATAAATGCGAATGTTTAGATGGATGCATGCTTGTTAGAAGATATTTCCAGAGCGGCTGAAATTTGACATACATATAGAAAATAGTCTGAACACATAGGGCACTAATTAAGTTAAATTCCGCTCGACAGAGTCGCGGGCGACAGTTAGTTAGGATATAACCTTACTAAATTAAAACTTAACAAGTTCTTACGGTAAAGGAAAACATCGTGATGCTGCACATATCTGATAAGATCAAAGATATGTGTGAAGTCTGCACTGCATTCACTACGACATAGTCACTGACTTAAGGTAGGCTCTGAGCTCCTCAGTTGGGACGTAGAGTGAGGTGATGATGATGAAATAAATTATAAATAAGGTGAATTTAATATAATATTAGCATTGACAAAGGTATCAAAATATCCTTGATCCGCATCCAGAAAAGCATTTCAGCTCGCCTGTATAGTTTGATCTAGATTTTTTATTTTTCCAGATTATACCTAGATGGCTTGCACCAAACCTGATCACATTCCTTGGATTCATCTGCGTGGTGGTTGTCGCATTGCTGACTTCCTGGTACGACTACCATTGGCTTGCAGCCGGTGGACCAGGGCAGCAGAACCTTAGAGGATATATACCAAACTACGTGTTCACACTTAGTGCTGTTTTGATATTCCTCGCTTATAATTTAGGTAAGTTGTCATACTCAGAGACGTTACGAGCTTAGTATAGATTTAATGAAGACTTAAGCCAAAGGCGTGTAATGCGTTGGCAGCGTTTTAAATTAATAATAAATAATCAACAGTAAAAAAGATATCTAGGAGAAAGAGATTCCCTATTTGATTCTTAGCGTAATTATTCTAAAGTTCCAAGGCATGACGAGGATGACAGGGATGACGATGTTTTATGCGGACTAGCTGTCGTCCACGACAATCCGCGCGGGATTAAAAATTAAATAGTAACCGATTCTTAAACCTACTGAATATGCATATAAAATTTCAATAAAAAATCTGTCAAACTGTTTCGGAGGAGTAGAATAACTAAGCTGGCAAGAGCTGAATGAGAGTGGCCGAGGATCGTGCTCAGTGGCGTGCCATGGGAGAGGTCTGTGTCCAGCAGTGGACTAATATAGGCTGATGATGATGATGCTAACTAACTTTGTTTTTAAATTATTCAAACTTTCGTGAGACATTATACTAAACTGATATATAAACACGGCTAAACACTCACGTATATACGTCCGGTGGCGGCACCGACTAGTTTCGAGCCCATCGGGGGCCCTTCATCAGGATGAGTGGCAATGGTATTATTTCGCGGATTTTTAGTGAGCGACGGGCCGCGTCCGCGAAATAATACCAGTACCACTCATCCTGATGAAGGGCCCCCGATGGGATCGAAACTAGTCGGTGCCGCCACCGGACGTATATACGTGAGTGTTTAGCCGTGTTTATATATCAGTTTAACTTTGTTTTTATGTTGCAGACGGTATAGACGGCAAACAGGCGCGCAGGCTGGGCGTGTCTGGACCTCTTGGGGAGATGTTTGACCACGGCCTTGATTCTTACATTGTCTTCTTTATACCGTTCTGTTTATTCTCTGTGTTCGGTAGAGATGAATTTTCTATACCATTATTTAGGTATAGTATACTATGATTATCGTAAGACTAGTGCTTAAATCTTACTAATATTATAAATGCGAATGCTTAGATGGATGGATGTTTGAAGATATCTCCGGAACACCTCAACAGATCTTAATGAAATTTGGCATAGATGTAAAACATTGAGAGTAGTAGAACCCGCTTTAACATCTTCGCACGAATTGGCCAGGTTCGCCCGTTGAAATACCACCACCACACAGAAAACAGGCGTGAAGTGGAAGAAATTCCGCGTTTCGTCTGATGAGTATGCATCCCGGAGGCCTAATTTAGTCCTCTTTCCCCTCCAACCCTTTTCTTATAAGGAAAGGATGGGAAGTTGAAGTGGACTTTCCGGGTGAGAGGATGCATGGAAAGGGAAAATATTTTCTTTCTGTGCATCCTCTCCTCCGTCGATTAAAGGTAGGCAACGCATATGCAATTGCGTATGTCTATGGGCAACGGTCACTTCGCTATAAAAAAAAACATAGTGTGGAAGAACACATAGCTTATTTTCTTTTAATCTTTAATAAATTTTTCAGAGGTTACTTAATAGTAGGCAGTATTGTGCTTAATTTTTACGTATCGCATTGTGAAAAATATAACACAAGAGTTCTCTATCTACCATGGGGATATGACATCGCTATGTGGGTAAGAACTTATTGCCTTCATCATCAGCTCATAAATCCCTACTGAGGGCTGACTAGGCCATAGTCAACCATAGCCCAGTGCGGGTTGACTTCACATATATCTTTGAATTACTTCGCAGATTTGTGCAGCATCACAATGTTTTCCTTCACAGTAAGAAAGTCTAATAAATGTACATATTTAAATCGAAAAACACGTTGGTACAACGGGATTCGAACCTAGAAGCTGCAGATTACAAGTCAAGTGCTTAACCTTTAAGCCCCCTATGAGGAGAAAATATTATTTTCTCTCTATCTTTCTCTTTGATTAAAATGAAATGGCAATAATTTAAAAATAATTTATCAAAATGGATAGAAGTAAATACTAGGGCATCATAAGACGATAGTTCTCTGAATGCGATATAAAATATTTCTATCTTTGTTCTTACTAAGGGAATGATAGAGATGGCAATATTTTTCGACAAAGTATTTTTTTTTCAGGCATCATCCTTATTATTCTTAGTGGCCGGTATCAAAGGGCCTGCATATTATAAGATGTTCATATTCCATGATGTAACATTCGCTCAAGTTCTAGAAGTGGCAATCCACGCAACTGGTCTGTTCACAACACTTCCAGTGTCTATATACAATGTGTATTTGTAAGTTGTATATACAATGTTCGATTAACAATTGGTTTCTCATATCAAAATCTATGTATAAAACATATCGTCATCTCTGTCATTTATCTTTGACAAAACAGAGATAAAAACAGCTTGTACAGCGCCACCTATCGGGCATAAAATACAACAACGAATATACAAGTTTTGACTTTCGTCTAGAACGTTATGACGATGTGTGTCGCAAAAATTCGTGCTAGCCCCTCTGAACTGATTATGACGATATTCGATTCGTATTTTTCTTGAGTGTTGGAGATACAGGATGTTTCACGAGTGCAAACAGTTTTTAAACTCACAAACTTATAATAATAGGTCATACAAAAACGGCACGGGTAAGAAACTTTCGTTGCTAGAGGCTGTGCGTCCTGTATGGTCGATGACGTCATTGGTGGTAGTAATGACGTATTGGGCACTAAACAGTGACGTCATGGAAAACTACCCACGCGCCTTCCTGTTACTCTTTGGGACTTTGTTTAGTAACATTGCTGTAAGTAATTTTATAAAGATATACGTAATTATTTTCTCTACTTAAGCGTACTCTTCCCTGTCTAATCGACTTCCCCTTCACAGTCTTCCTATAAGAAAAAGGATCGAAAGAGGAAGATCATTAAATGGATGTCTCTGGCATACACACTCATCAGACGAAACGCGGTAATTTTTTTTATATTATAAGGTGGCAAACGAGCGAGCTTCCACCTGAAATCGCTGAAGTAGCGAAGCGACCGTTGCCCATAGACGTACGCAATTGCATATGCGTTGCCTACCTTTAATCGACGGCGGAGGGGATGCACAGAAAGAAAATATTATATATTTTCACTTTCCATGCATCCTCTCATCCGGAAGGTCCACTTCCTCTTCCCATCCTTATAATAAAAAGGGTGGGAAAGGAAAGAGGACTAAATTAGGTCTCCGGGACGCACACTCCTCAGACGAAACGCGGAACAGCTTCCACTTGAAGCCTGTCATCTGTGTGGTCGTGGTATTTCACCGGGCGAGCGGGACAATTCTTGCGAAGATGTTAAAGCGGGCTCTACCACTGTTACGGCCATTCTGTGCACCGGTCGAACGAGACAGTTAGGGTCCACTGGAATACTGTAATATTCATTCACAGAGTCGTCTAATAGTGTCAGAGATGAGTGAACAAAAATGTGAAGTCTTCAATAGTCTTCTATGGCCGCTGATAGCAGCTGCTCTGATGTCCATATACCAACCAGCGTTGCAGCACCTCCTGTTGCATTCTGTTCTCCTGGTAGCAATCCTCGCTCACTTACATTACGGCATCTGTGTGGTAAGTTTACACAGGCGAAACATATATAAAAACATGTTTCCAACATGTTTATTCTTTAAGAGGAAAAAAGACAATGTTTTTGGATGTTTTATGGCAGTGGAAACTCTGGTAGAAACATGTTTGAATAAGGATTTGAAGATACATTGATTACAGTTTACAATTTAACGTTGTTTATTAGTAGTGAGATTATTATCGCTTATAATTTTTATCGTCAAAAACATGGGAATAACAATTGTTACGAATCATTAAAATATTGGTTTAACGTATCTATTTCGTTTTGAAGTAAAAAAATTAAAAAAAAAATTTGTCGTCTATGTAATCGAATACATTGCAGATTATAATTCTTTGAAATAAAACAGTTAATCATATTAATATCACAAAGTTTATTTTTTCCGTCTAGTCAGTCTCTGTTTACTCGAATTTCAAAGTCGCACTGTTACATGTAATTTCCTGCAACACGCTTTGACTTCACACGACACCTATTTTTGTATTTCAAATATTGTCTTTCATAATTTTGTTTTAAATCAAAAACTTTTTATACTAATAAGATATTAAATTTGATATTCATATAAATATATATGTTTAATCTTACTTATATTATAAACTAGCTGTCGCCCGCGACTCCGTCCGCGTGGATATATAAAATAACTTAATTACTATACTTATGCCAAATTTAATCGAAATCCGTTCAGCTGTTCTAGAGATATCTTCAAACACCCATCCATCCACATCACATCCATCTAAACATTCGCATTTATAATATTAGTAAGTTAAATAAAAAGCAGCTCTTCAAGGCATAAATTCGAAAAAAAAATTGTACCCTATGTCAGTCTCCTGGCTCTAAGCTACCTCCTCACCAATTTTCAGTCATATCGGTAAAGCCGTTCTTGAGTTATAAATAGTGTAACTAACACGACTTTCTTTTATATATAGATGCGAATGTTCAGATGGATGTTTGTTTGAAGGTATCTCCAAAACTGGATTTTGCTGAAAGGTATTTAGAACATAGTCTGGAAGAACACATAGGCTACTTATTAAGATTTTCTTTGTGATAGAGCAGACGACAGTTAATTTTAAATAAGTTTTATGAAATTTAATCGTATTTCGTTTGTTTCAGGTTCGACAAATGTGTGACCATTTTAAAGTTAAATGTTTCATTGTACCAAAAGAAAAGAGGAAATAAATTAAAAAAAATCTAATATAATTCGATGTTTTTATTATTATAATAATCAATGCATTTTTATATAAATTTTATATCAAATATACTTTTATTTAATAAACAATTGTTTTAATCTAAATTAGCATTGTTTACTTTAAAATATTTTGACTACTTTAGTAAAGAGTTTTTTAGTTGACTTTGGTTGTGGAATTTTAAATAAAATAAAAGCAATTTAAAAATAGACATAAGTTTTAACACGAAAATAAAAGAGAAAAAATTACATGGGTTAAAGTAAAGTAGGTTTTTCTGATGTTTTCTATTCAGTTTTCTTCCATAAAAACACTATCATTAGCAAAAAGCTGTCAGTTAGCTACGAACTGTTCAAATAAAAAAAAAGTTTTAATAAATTTTTCTAAGTATTTACCCTATTTATTATAATAGCATGAATATGTAGATAGAACCTGCTTCCCATTCCTGTAAAAAGACATCGTCAGGTAAAGAGCAAAAATATGACACCGCGGAACAAACTAATTCACAAAATAATACGTAATATAATACAGAATAGCAAAAAAAATGAGCAACAAAGCATTGTATCGCGAAATCTGCAGCTTTTTCTATTGGCGTGAAAGAGACAGGTATATCTAGTTGGTGTGGCCCGCAGCTCCGTCTTGAAATTATACGTTCTCATAGCCTTGTCCTGTCTGGACTTTTATTTTATAGTCTGAAGTTACATTTGTTTTTATAGGAATTTGAACTCTGTTACATAGGGATAAGGTGTATTTTGCGTTGTTTAGTTTGTATAGTTGTGATGTTTTGGAATAAATTGGAAATTTAGTAATGGGGGGTGTTCGACACAGACACCGAAGTCGGGGTTTAGAATTTCAGTACAGCTTCGGATAGCCGCGAAGCGCTGCTTTTGTTGGCTCTACGATTGTTTACCGAATTCGAATGTTCTTTTTTTTATTTTTAATTTTTGAATTACCTTTCGCGGCTTAACAGATGTTCATTTTTTTTATTTCTATTATAATAATGAAACTGGCCGTATAGAAAACTTATTCGAATTTTAAAAATCCGTCGGTAAAGGAAACTTTTTAAAGTGGACAGTGGACTTAAGTGTTATAGTGTTGTGCCGCGCCAAAATATTATTAAAAAAAATATTAATTATTATATTATAATCTTAATAATAATTCGTGAAATGGTAGCTGAATTTAAAATAATAAAATAGGTAAGTGAGGTGCCCATAGAGAATGTAACAAGGTTTTTTTAAAAAAAAAAACATTTTGTGGTGGTGTTGCAATTAAAAACATTTGGCATGTCAATCGGTTTGGTAGAATGAGTCGCATGCGCAGGCAATCCTGTTCCCCTGGTAGGCAATGACATAGCTGGAATGCAGACCCTAAGGCAGGAGGTAATTTTATATTACTAGATTTATTTTCTAATAAGAGATATAAGAAAAAAAAACATATTTTACTTTATAAAAATCATACTTGAATTAAACAATTTCGTTATTAAACTTTTTTCGTACAAACATCGAATTTACACTGAATTAAGTTTGACAGAGGAGAGGATGGAAAGAATGAGGAAATCCTAATTCTGTTTATCCTCTCCTTTCCCAATAACAGTAGGCAAGGCACTTCCAATTTATTTTCTAGTAGCATATAACATATAAGAAGGCAAACGAGACTAGCGATCAATGCCCATAGATGCCTTTAATCGACAGAAGAGACGCACAGAAAGAGAACATTTCCCCTTCCTATACCCGTCATCCATTATAAACTTACCAGCAAATAACTAAAGAACCTAGCTCTTTTATTACCGTATTTCATTAAAAAAAACAATAATCCTATTTAAAACAGTTAATATATTGGTTAGTAATTACATTTTTGTTAAATAATAAAGGCGTACGGCTACAGAACATACAAAAAATGTGTACTAAGGTGTTAATAATCTTGTATGTAGATAAATGAGTGTGGCAGAGACGAAAAAACACAAGACAAAAGTACGCCAAATAGAAGTCACTATTCTCTGTCCATCCCTCTGAGTTATACGTACTTTTCTCTTTATTATACCTATTACCCTTAACTTAGGGTAGGCTCGGAGCCCCTCGGTGGTGACGTATAGTGAGCTGATGATGATGATGATATCTATTACCAACATTATAATTTTTATGACATTTTATACGTTTATTCGGTACGTTTGAGATTCTGCTACTATTTGTGTCGCGCGGACAGCGTCGAATGCGTCAGTTATGTTATAAAAATATGGACGTACAGCAATTCCTAAGTTACAAGTATTAAGTACTGATACGTTTTGTTTATTTAGTATTATTTTAGTTAGTTAGAAACAAGTAAAGTTTGATAGAACTCGCCTTATTAAGGACACAAAGGTGTCACTAAAAATATACAGAATGAATATAATCTTACTAATATTATAAACTAGCTGTCACCCGCGACTCCGACCGCGTGGATATATAAAAAAAACTTAATTAGTCTAGCCCACCACATCACATCCATCCAAACATTCGCATTTATAATATTAGTAAGTTAAATAAAAAGCAGCTCTTCAAGGCATAAATTCGAAAATATTAGTATCCTATGTCAGTCTCCCGGCTCTAATCTACCTCCTCACCAATTTTCAGGCATATCGGTAAAGCCGTTCTTGAGTTATAAATAGTGTAACTAACACAACTTTCTTTTATATATCTTTATTTAAAGGTATTTCTAGAACGGACGGATCTAGCTGTAATTTATCATACATGTAGAACATAGTCTGAAAGAACACATAGACTAATTAAAGAAAAGTAAATAATTAAATAATTTAATATTAATAATCAATTATTAAAATTATTTTTATTTCTCATATAACGTTCCAATTTTGAAATATTAATTTTGAAATAAAACAAAAAAATGTTAATCGTTTTTCTAATCTTGATTATTAATAATTAAAAGCATTTCAAATTATTTTATAGAAATAATTTTAATTAATAATAAATGAATTTAATTAACGGAAAATAATTTAAATTCCTTTATTATAACAATATGTGCTCTTTAAATTTTATTGTTGCATATTTTCAAACGAGACAATAAAATAAAATTTAAATAATTAAATGAGTTAACATACAAATAACAAATTTATAATAAATTAAAACAATTGATAAAACGATACAGATAAAAAAAACTTGTTAGTTTTTAGTAATTATTTTTACATTAACAAAAATCCTTATGACGTCTTGCTTAAGTCTTGCTGATGCTGGAGCTGGCTTAGCCGCATTGATCAGAAAGAGAGCAGCATCCATGATGCGGCGGGTGCGGGACAGCACCAACAGACCTGCAACTCATTGTTGATAGAGTGGGATTGGACTGTCCAGTGTTGGCCATGTGAACACGTCTACATGTGCCCTAAAGAATTATGTTTTATTTTGTGTTTTATTTTTCTGTGGACCATGTGTCTGAATTAAAGATTTATTATTATTATTAAGTAGTACTAGCCCGCGACTTCGTTCGTACGGGTTTAAAAAGCCTAATAAGTAGCCTATGTGTTCTTCCAAACTATGTTCTATATGTATGCTACATTTCAGCGAGATCCATTCGATCGTTCTGGAGATATCTTCTAACAAACATCCATCTAAATTTTCCCAAAAACTTAATATAATTTTTGATTTTAGACAATTCTTACGACAGTAAAAACCTACTTTATTTTACGTTAACTGAATGTATTTCGTGAAACTCGCCTTATGAAATAAAAAATTGGATAATAAATGCATTTTTTAAATAAGTTTTTTTTCTTTATTAATATAAATCTGAAAATTTTTTTGTAAAGTATTTGGCTTTAAAATACACATAGATTTTCTATTATTCCGTCTTAATCAAATAATGTATAAAACTTTTTTAGTGATTGTTTGTTAAAAATTCCAACGTAATATTTTGGAAACTTCACCGAAACGACGTTGGAAAAAACTAAAACATACGATTTGATAATTTATAAACAAAACGATCGTTATATTTTCCGATGTCGTTTTATTACGATGCTAATTTAACTTATTAACGATTTATTATTTTAGCATGTATTTAAGAATATATATTATACTAGCTGTAGCCTGAGACTACGTCCACACAGTTTTGAAAAAAATGCTTAATTAGTAGCCAATATTTTCTTTCAGACTATGCTCTACATTTATGCCAATTTTCATCGA